TTTATGTTTTACTCTTTGGTGCTCATGAGGATACTGTATTGTTCTTTCTTTGTGACTTTTTTAACGTTTAAGTCGATTTTTGTTGATTTTTAATATTTTACTGAATTTGCATTTACCCTTAGCCAACATGTCTTAAAACACAATAGATCGGCAATTACTAGAGTCTGATCTCCTGTGAGTGTGTCGTTGAGTGGGGAAAAGCAATTAGCCACATGAACAGGTTGGTAGTGTACCGGGGGCTATGATTCCTCCTCCCCGTCATCCAGCCATCCTGTTTTCCCAGCTACTCGACAGTCTGCCGGGGGACACGTAATGGGGCCTGCGCTACCTTCTACCTTCGGCTGCACTGACTACAGGAGGCTGGCTAGCTAGAGAGTTTTCAAGGGTGCAAAACCGAGGCTCGAATTCAATATCATTAAAATAAAAAATTTAAAAACTAAGCTAAGCTAGTGAATCCCTAAAGACACAGTGAGTGAATACAGTGACTATAATTTAGCGAGTAAATACAGTTTTTATCACAACACATATGCTACACAAAAATATCACTGTGTGTTGCAACAGGAAGTGATACTCTACGCAGAGATTTGTCATTTCATTAGAATACAGTATTCTGCTGGGAAACCACTCCTGTGAATGCTTTCATATGTAGCACACAACAACATATTACTGCATACCAACCAGGACAATTTTCTTTCTAAAATAACTCTGAGTTCTTACATCCCACATGTTTTTCCAGCCACTGGTTTTGCCATTTAGCAGCGCCTCTGGATGAGCCAAGCCAGCGTTATTGATGCACACGTCCACGCCTTTGTGCTGCTCCTTGATCGCGGCGAACATGGACAGAATCTCCTCCTCTTTGGTCAAGTCACACTTGAAAGGGACAAAAACACCAGGGTGGCCGGCGCTCTGACACTCTGCTGCCAGTTTCTGAAAACAAAAAGCAAAAGATGATACCTTCATAATCACTTTCGCATTCAGATTCTTGTGGTAAAAATACTCTGGTAAAAGTTGAATTATGGATTAAACTTCTTTACTAAGATAAAATAGAAATTTTCCAGACTCTGAAATTAATTCAAAGCAAAAAAGTAAGAAGATAAGGACTTTTCAATTATTTTGCAAAGGAAACCCAACCTCATACAACTTTAACATAATAGCAAAATTAGTCATGGAAATGAAAACTTAATTTAAACCTAAACTCTAATGAACACCTGAATGATAGTAAGAACACAAGCATAGACAAACAAATGAACTTATAGCTCTATTTGCTGCAGCCTACATTGTAGATGGATGAATCTGCCTCTACATCTAAACAGAATATACATATATTAATTTAATAATATTAATACAATACATCATTATATAATTATTATTAATATACTATATGAGTATAGTCAGGGGCTAAAGTGGGATTTGCAGATTTGAGAACCCTAAGATCACTGTAGTGGTTATAGCAGTGTGAGGAAAGGAATCAGGAGTCACAATAGGGGCAATACACAATACAGGCTGTGATCAGCTGATCTGTGCTGTGGCTGTTTACCTGAGGTATACTGCTCTTTGTGGATTTACACAACTCATCAGTATGTAAGTTATCATGTCTGACTTCCGTCTCCTATACTGCCAACATACTGTTTATACCATTTTTTTTATTTTATTTTACTGCATAGTACACAGCTTGGATCTGTTATTGTGCAGCTTATTTTAAACCATGCATATAGACCAATATATACAGCCTAAATGATTTACTGTAAAACAAACAGTGTAACGGCGGATATGTAAAGCTAGCTCAACAACACGTAATATAACGTTTGTGCTTTTATTTTGGTAACTTCCCGTGTGACCGAAAATGAATGTTGTAACGGTAACTAGCTTGATGTACAAAAAAGACGCAGGAAAACGGTAAACTACTGCTAACGGAGAAAACTGCATATCGGCATAACATAACTCTTCCGAAATCGAGTTTGTTATTTCAGAGCAAACCTGTATTTTCCCCACGTCCCTGGCGCAGCCCACCACTTTCATACCGAGCCGGACCAGCTCCACAGCTACAGACTCCGCCTCCATTCCAACCAACTAGACGTAGAAACAGTGACGAACTGTCAAAAACCTAAAGACGGGTGTCGTTACATTACTGTTCAGTTTGTGGGTTACAACCGAAAATGATACGTTTATTGTTCTCATGTGTTATCAGCAGTGTTGATCAAGTTACGTGAAGATAGTAAGTAGTTACTAATTACTGATTACTTATTTTTAAAAGTAAATAGTTACTTTGTTACTTAGTTAGAATTAGGTTAGGGTAGAAACAAACTTACATAAACGATCCATATAAAATAAAAAAACTACACCAAACATTGTTACATAATTATACTGATAAAAATGAACTTTGACACAGAGTCATGTGTACAGAGTTATAATGGATGATGATTTGGAACTCGGTTATAGAGTAACATAAACTGGCTGCTCGCCCAGTTTCTTGGTGTCATCTCAGCATGACACAGCAGAAAAACCTCATTATCATTAACTTAATTTATTATTATTTGTGGCAGTAGTATTAGTTGCAGCAGTTGGAGTATTTTAAATTGGATTTCTCTTTTAGGAACAGTTGTGGAGAAAAGACATGTTGAGTTTGTCTGTAGACTGACA